TTTTTTTTTTTTTTTTTTTTTCTTTTTATCATTTTGTTTTCTCTTTGGGAGTGGTTTGTACTCTATTTTTTGTTTGTTTCCCCGCGGCGTCGTATGTGCCGGGTTTCGAGACCACGGGCTCCCTATTTTTTGTGGACTATAGAGCTAATGTGAGAAACAACAACAGCAAGCCACTTACTTGCTTCCCAAGCATGGTACTCTGCGGTTGCCGCACAAGGGTTTGGCGTTTATGCTGGATCTGTCTGCATAGATAAGGGAACCTCATGCGGCGGGCGGGTCCGTCTTGCTGAGTTGCTGAGTTCGCTTGGTAGTCTAAGTTTTGAATTTCTGGAGACGAAGGATCGACATGTGGTCCTTACCCCGACACTCAGTTAAATTGTAGATGCGGTGCCGGACCTTCCGCTGCGCACTACCGATGAATGATCTCTTCTCTGCTTCTATTAAGAGTCTCTTGCGTATGCGTGCTTTGCAAGCCTCGATCGCGATTTCTCATCGTTAACCATGGGTTTTCGCCTTATGGTTGAATTGCCGCGAGCCGCGGGCAGGACATCGTGCCCTACCGCAGCAAGTCCGCAATGTATGGTCAGTCCAAGACCCAATATCAACAATTGCGACACCCACTTTATGAATTGTTTCTCTGCACCCATCCAGCTTCTTGTTCCATGCCTACCATGGGTGTTTTTGTACAGACAGCACTTCAGGCAGCANATATAGGTGTAGTAGTACCTCTTCGGGCTCTTGTACACCTTTTTCTTGCTACGTGTGCGTGTTCTTTAGATCCTCAGATGGCTCCAGCACTTTCGTGACCACGGGCCGAGAGTCTTTGCTAGATTTTGGCATTTAGTCTAGCAACTGGCATACGGTTTAATGTGAAGTCAACAACAACAACAACAACAACAACATACAGCAGGGAAGGAAACAGGGCGCAACAACATCAGCCGGGCAGCCGGGTAGATAGTTCGCCACAGTGCTGCCTCGACAGCCCTACTCGCTTCTGTTTGTGATAGTTGCTGCTGTATGTGTCGACAGAGTAACGTAGAACAACTCAGTCAGAGGACATGGTACGTTGTGATGTACATTAGCCCCTGTCTGTTGAGTCTTTCTTTTGTGTTCCGATATCATTGTGTTCTGTTTTTTTTTTGCGTTGGTCGAGCGACACAGCGACACGGATGGTGGCTGCGGTGCTGCGGTGCTGTGGTGCTCCCCATCTTGCTCACTTCACCTTTTGACCTGTTCTACTGGTCCATGTTTGCGGCCTACGCCACGTGTTCATCGGGTGAGACTGTTTTGGTGATGTATTAACTTCACGGGAGGTCGACGACCGTCCTTCACACGGACGAGAGAGGGAGTGCTCAAAGAGCGGCACGTATGGTCAGTCCAAGACCCAATATCAACAATTGCGACACCCACTTTATGAATTGTTTCTCTGCACCCAGGTGGTTGTTCGCAAAACCGAGAGTACCGGCAAACGCCCTGTTTCCAGGTGCAGGTCCCTGTGGGAAGTTTTTTTTATTTTTTTCTTGTCGATTTATTTGCAAATAACCGGAAAATCTTGTTCACTTTTTCCTGGGGTGGGCTTTTGTCAGACCACAATTATGAGACCGGATTTCGACAGCTCTCGCGATTCCCCAGGTGGAATTTTTTTTCGATTTCGATTTCAGCGAAAATTGACGAAGTTATCGCCGAAAAACTGGATTAGAGAGACCATTTTGTTCACTTTTTCCCTCCGACATTCAACCATAGAGCTTCAAAAAGACCACGGCAATCGATTCCTCTCGAAATTCCCCAGATGGAATTTTTTTCCGATTTTCCGAAAAAAATCTGGTTCGCGAGATATTCGGCATTTTGTTTTGCCGATGGGCGGCGATTTGTTCCTGCCACTCACGCACACACGCACGCACACATAGCGCTTGTGCGAGGGTGTGCCCTCGCCCATACGCCCTACTGCGGCACTCAGCACCCGCAGCAGTCATGGACACGAAGAAGAAACGTGGCAGACCACCAAAGCGAGGCAGGTTCAAAGGCAAATTTCAGAGCCATGAACCAGCTGTCGCTGCTCCCGAGCCATTGGACGGCAGCACATCTTCTCCGATGGAAGTCGTTGAAGAACCACACGACGACCACGACGAAGCCTGGTGCGACGAAGACGCCGGTGCCGCCTCGGGTGGAAGTCAGGCCACACTGTCTTTCGGGTTCGCTGCTGCTCTCGGTGTGTCTCCAGCAGCTTGCGCCGCACTGTCTTGGGTTCGCGAGGTTGCGCCGCCTCGGCGTGCGGAGGGACCTTGTCGGCAGACTCTCAGCCGTCGCAGACAGGTTGCGCTAGGGGCTGCGAAACGTCAGATGGCGAGCTATATGGCCGGCTGGCTGACGCGTGGAGCGGAGCAGCAGTCACAGCAGTCATTACCTCAAAGTTCGGAGACGCAACGTGCGGCGGAACCACTGCTTGAAGAGGACGACAGCAGTGCGGTGCCTGCGCTGCGTGCACCGCTGAGCCAGGCAGCGACGGCGGCCGCAATAGCAACAGCGATAGCTGCAGCGAAACCGACATGCTTGTTGAAGATGGTGTGGATCTACCATTGCAGGAGTGGGTCGGTGAGGGCGAGCAAGCAGAAGCGCAAGGAGCTGTGGAGGAACACTGCGACGATGGGTACTTTTCGTGCGGAGGGTTTCTCGACGGACACGACTACCCGTCTGACCGGAGCGATGGTTCGCTCGACAGCGACCGAGACAGCGACCAAGACAGCGACGCCGGGCGCGACGGCGACGTTGAGCCCCGGGGTAGCAGTGCAGCAGCAGCGATGGGGAACAGGCGGGAACAGGGCGATTGCGGGTTCGGTGGCGATGTTGAACTTGGAGGAGCAAGCGGAGCACCAGCTATCGGCGGCTGCAGTGCAGCCGCCAAAACCGCCGCCGCCGCCACAACCCGACAACCGGCCACCGCTGTTCGACGGAGCTCGAGGGAAACGTCCAGGAAGGAGTATTTTCCCCCAAGACGCGCCAGCGCTGACCGCGTCGGGGGAAGTGGGTCCGGGCGGGGAGTGCGCAAGCTGCTGCGGGATGAGGTCCAGAACCCGCTGTTGAGGTTGAAACGCGAGACTGCCAAAGCTAAGCGTGTACACCGAAAGGCGAGAGTCCGGCTAGTAGGACAGTTGTGGACGAAGCAGCAGCTTGCACGCCAAGCGAGGAGGACACGCAAGCATTGCTCGGAGCGCAAGGAGGAGCTTGTCAGGATATTCCGCCAGGCGCTGGACAAAATAGACCAGGTGTGTTGTTCGTGCGTGTTTGTGTGCGTTTGTCTGTTTGTGTGTGATTGCTG